TCCTCCTCCTCCTCCTCCTCCTCCTCCTCCTCCTCCCCTGGTCACCACAACACCCGCGCTGGCCCCACTGAGGCCGACAGGGGGGACTGCTCGGGCTCCCCTCCGGGCTGGCCTGGCGTCAGCGTGGGAAGCACGAAGGCTGATAGCGCGCCGGCACGGAAGCGGGTCGCTGATCCGCCGGCCCGCGCCTGCGGGAGGGCTTCTCTAAGTCCGCCCGACCGGGATGGGCGAAAACGGCAGAGGCCACAGGCAATGAGAAGGCAGTGGAGGGCGAGGAGGGCGAGGAGGGCGAAGAGGGCGAAGAGGGCGAGGGCGAGGAGGAGGCGCAGGTGGCAGGGGGTTGCACTCCCAAGCGGCGCGGTCTTCTAAGAAGACTGCCCTGCCCACTTCGTCGCGTGTTCCTTCGACAAGGGCCTCGGCGTTATGATATCTTACAGGCCGGGATGGACGAAACGGGAGCGAATCAGCTAAAAGTAGCTGGTTATCCCGGCGCCTCCTGGCACTGGAGGCCTCTCTCCCCGAGGCGTCCAGGAGCGTGCCCCGCGGCGGGGGCAGAAGCTGGCTGCCTCCAGCAACTGTCGCGGTGCCCACTACCCCGACCACCACCACCGCAGCGCTCGTCCACGATCCCGGGGCCGCGAGAAAAACCACGACGGACATGTCTGTCATCATGTCCACGTAGGGGCATGTCGGAGGCCTGGAAATGGGCACCAACACCAACACAAGGAGTGCCTCCACAGGGGGAAGATGATCCTAGATTTCGGCGTTGGTGGCAATATTCCGGCCACCTTGGAAGCCAGAATATTACCACCATCAACGAGATCGGGATCTTCTTCCCCTCGATGGAGGCACACCGCCGATATTGGTGTTGGTGTCAACCTCTAGGCCTGCGAGCATGGGGGATCTTCTCGGGGCCCAGGGCCCTCCCACGCCGGCCCGAGCAAAAAAAACATAGTGCTGCGGCAGGGCCGGAGAGCTCTGGGGCCAGCGGCGCGAGAATTAAGTCGGGCGTGTCCCCCTACAGGGGGATTTTCGACGAAAAATTAGAATTACTCCGACGGTAGGACCCCACACGAGAATCTGTTTAGCTTACCCTTTGCCCTTTCCTCCTCCCCCTGGCGGACACCCTCTCCTGTCGCCCCCTGCACTGCCCTCTCTTCCCCCTTCTATTTATCTTTCTCCTCCTCTTTCTCTTCCTCCTCCTCCTCCTCCTCCTCCTCCTCCTCCTCCTCCTCTTCCTCCTCCTCCTCCTCCTCCTCCTCCTCCTCCTCCTCCTCCTCTCGCGCCACCTCCTCCTCGTCGTCGGCCTCCCCCATGCCCCTTCCCTCCTCATCCCCCTGCCTTTTCTCCCTGTGCACCTCCCCTTCCCCCTCGTCGGGGCAAGCAAATCCATTTTCCTCAGCGCCGTCGCCGCCTCGGCCAGCGCGCGCGCGTCTGCCGACGGCTAGATCGCGAAACCGTCGGGGCAAACCTTCGGGCTGGGCCGTAGGCTCCCGCTCGAGACTTCCTCCATATTCTGGTCTCAAGAGCCCACAAGTGACGACAGTTGCACGTTGCGGATGACCCGCTCGGATTCGAACATCAAGTGCGGGCCCCATAGGGAGGGGGCTCCCGCCTGAGACTTCCTCACAAGTCACTCACAGACGAGGCTCCCGCTCGAGACTTCCTCCATATTCAGATCTCAAGAGCCCAAAAGTGACGACAGTTGCACGTTGCGGATGACCCGATCGGATTCGAACATGCAGTGCGGGCCCCATAGTGAGGGGGTTCCCGCCTGAGACTTCCTCACAATTCACTCACAGACGAGGCTCCCGCCTGATACTTCCTCCACTCTCAGGCCTCAAGAGCCCAAAAGTGACGACAATTACACATTGCGGATGACCCGCTCGGATTCGAACATGAAGTGCGGACCCCATAGGGAAGGGGCTCCCGCCTGAGACTTCCTCGCAATTCACTCACAGACGAGGCTCCCGCTCGAGACTTCCTCCATATTCAGGTCTCAGGAACCCAAAAGTGACGAGAGTTGCACGTTGCGGATGACCCGCTCGGATTCGAACATGAAGTGCGGGCCCCATAGGGAGGGGGTTCCCGCCTGAGACTTCCTCACGATTCACTCACAGACGAGGTTCCCGCTTGATACTTCCTCCATATTCAGGCCTCAAGAGCCCAAAAGTGACGACAGTTGCACGTTGCGGATGACCCGCTCGGATTCGAACATGAAGTGCGGGCCCCATAGTGAGGGGGCTCCCGCCTGAGACTTCCTTACAATTCACTCACAGACGAGGCTCCGCTCGAGGACTCTCATATTTCTGGTCTCAAGACCCAAAAGTGACGAACAGTTGCCACGTTGCGATGACCCGTCGGGATTCGAAACATTGAAATGCGGGCCCCATAGGGAGTGGGGCTCCCTCCTGAGACTTTCCTCACAATTCACTCAACAGAGCAGACGAGGCTCCCGCTGATACTTCCTCCATATTTCAGGCCCCAGGCCCAAAGTGACGGACAGTTAATGTTGCGGATGACCGCGTCGGATTCGAACATGAAGTGCGGGCCCCATAGGGAGGGGGCTCCCGCCTGAGACTTCCTCGCAATTCACTCACAGACGAGGCTCCTGCTCGAGACTTCCTCCATATTCAGGTCTCAAGAGCCCAAACGTGACGACAATTGCACGTTGCGGATGACCCGCTCGGATTCGAACATGAAGCGCGGGCCTCATAGGGAGGGGGCTCCCGCTTGAGACTTCCTCACAATTCACTCACACACGAGGCTCCCGCCTGATACTTCCTCCATATTCAGGCCTCAAGTCAGCGAGTAGTGATGATGATGATGATGATGATGATGATGATGATGATGATGATCGTTCGGTGCCGATGATGGTGAGTGATCGTGCGATGGTGATGGTGATGCTGATGGTGATGATGAGTGGGGAGTTATGGTGATGGTGATGATGATGCGGAGGAAGAAGCAAAGAGGAGCAGAAGGTGAGCGAGGAGGAGGAGGAGGAGAATGACGAGAGTGTGAGTGGAGTGTGAGTGTGAGTGAATGGTGATGATGATGAGTGAGTGAGTGAGTGTGCGAAGGCAGAAGAGGTGAGGGGGTGGGGTGAGTGTTCCTGCGCGGGGTGTGCAGAGAAAAAAAGAACCCCACCTTGGATGTGGGGAAATACCCCAAAAAGGTTTAAAAAATACTCCAAAAATAGTCCCCAAACTATGTGTTTGATTATGTGTTTGTTATGTTTGGGGTATTTTTTGTTGTTCGTCGAAGCTCCCCCTGTAGGAGGACACGCCCGACCTCACGCGAGAAAGCTCGGCGTGGAAGGTCTCGGCCCGAAGGCTTCTGGCCGTTTCGCGGCGGCCCTCGAACCTGGGATTGCACGTCCGCTGGCCTCTCAGACGCCCTGGGTTGCTGCTGCCTCGCCGCCTGATCCGCGGCTCCCGCGCGCGCCCGCATTTAGTCGCGGCCGCAGCCCGACCGTGACCGCTCGCCGTCGCGCTTTCGCCGGCGGCTGTAAAAAAAAGGAAGCCCTCGAACCACGGCGTGCTCCATCGGTCGCGCCTCGTCGGGAGCCCCCTGCGGGCCCAGAAGCACGCAACACGGCCGCCGCGAGGCTCCGAGCGGCGGCCTGGAATGAAGGGGCCCCAGGACACACAAAGAACAGAAATACACACAAATGAGAAAAGATTCCCCATAGTTCCCACATGTTTGGGGTCGTTTTTCCCAACAAACCTGTGTTGTTGGGTACTCGTTTTGAAAGGACGGTGGCCCGCGTCGGCCCGCGTTTCCTCTCGTCCTCTTTTCCTCTTCATTTCCCCTGTCTCGTTCCTCTCCTATTCCTCCTCCTCCTCCTCCTCCTCCTCCTCCTCCTCCTCTTCCTCCTCCTCCTCCTCCTCCTCCTCCTCCTCCTCCTCCTCTTCCTCCTCCTCCTCCCACACCATCATCATCGTCATCACCCATTCCGGCACACCCCTCACACGCTTCGTGGCCCCATAGGGAGCTCCGCCGAAGGTCCCAATGGGTGTGCCCGCATGCGTCCCGCACACCAATTTCGGCACACCCTTTCACACGTTCCGTGGCCCCATAGGGGGCTCCACCAAAGGTCCCACTGGGTGTGCACGCATGCGTCCCGCACACACATTTCGGCACACCTCTCACACGCTTCGTGGCCCCATAGGGAACTCCACCGAAGGTCCCACTGGGTGTGCCCGCATGCGTCCCGCACACCCATTTCGGCACACCCTTCACACGCTTCGTGGCCCCATACGGAGCTCCACCGAAGGTCCCATTGGGTGTGCCCGCATGCGCCCCGCACACGCATTTCGGCACACCCCTCACACGCTTCGTGGCCCCATAGGAAGCTCCACCGAAGGTCTCAGTGGGTGTGCCCGCATGCGTCCCGCACACCCATTTCGGCCCACCCCTCACACGTTTCGTGGCCCCATAGGGAGCTCCACCGAAGGTCCCAGTGGGTGTGCCCGCATGCGTCCCGCACACCCATTTCGGCACACCCCTCATACGTTTCGTGGCCCCATAGGGGGCTCCACCGAAGGTCCCAGTGGGTGTGCACGCATGCGTCCCGCACACCCATTTCGGCACACCCCTCACACGTTTCGTGGCCCCATAGGGGGGCTTCCACCGAAGTCCAGTGGGTGTGCACGATTGCGTCCCGCAACACACAACACACACACACACCACACACACCACACACACACACACACACACATTTCGGCACACCGCCCACACGCTTCGTGGCCCCATAGGGAGCTCCACCGAAGGTCCCAGTGGGTGTGCCCGCATGCGTCCCGCACACCCATTTCGGCACACCCCTCACACGCTTCGTGGCCCCATAGGGAGCCCCACCGAAGGTCCCTGTGGGCGTGCCCGCATGCGTCCCGCACACCCATTTCGGCACACCCCTCACACGCTTCGTGGCCCCATAGGGAGCTCCACCGAAGATCCCAGTGGGTGTGCCCGCGTGCGTCCCGCACACCAAATTCGGCACACCCTTTCACACGCTTCGTGGCCCCATAGGGAGCTCCACCGAAGGTCCCAGTGGGTGTGCCCGCATGCGTCCCGCCCACCCATTTCGGCACACCCCTCACACGCTTCGTGGCCCCATAGGGAGCCCCACCGAAGGTCCCACTGGGTGTGCACGCATGCGTCCCGCACACCCATTTCGGCACACCCCTCACACGCTTCGTGGCCCCATAGGGAGCTCCACCGAAGGTCCCCGTGGCGCAGTCCGCACGCGTCTCCACCACCCACTACACCTCCGTCGGAGGCCGTCGGGGTTTTGCGCCTCCCTCGCCCGTCGTCGCTCTGCCCAGCGGCAAGAGCCTTGCCCGCTATCAGCCAGCCAGCTAGCTCTCTTTGCTGCGCGCAGCGGACGACCCGCGGGCGTCGCTGGGACCCCTCCGGGGCGACCTGCGCGCGTCGCTGGGATTCCGCGCTGCGCTGCGCCCGCAGCTTTGGATTTTGAGTGCGCGGGCAAAGAGGGAGTAAAAAAAGGGGAGGAAGCGGGCGCGATCCTCGCTGTGGCGTCGCGGCGCGCGGGCGATGCCGTCGGGGAGTCCCGGGGAAGCTCCTTGCGGCGGCCACGCCCAGCGTCACGAGTACTCTGAGGCAGTCATTCACAAACTATTAACATTCATATACAGTTGCACCATGCATTGGCATACTCGCATTCATGCACGTAGACTCGCTCGCACGCAGATTCATTCACAGTCAGACGCACTCGCGCTCAGATTCACCCGCGCTCAGTTTCCCTATATACTCAGATCAATCGTTTTCGTTCGCGTTGTGTACCACGCCATTCATTTTGGCACAGCACTAGCACGGTTCGTTGCCCCATAGGGATCACCACCGAAAAAGTGAAACACAATTGCGGTACTCACACCTGCATATGGTTGGGTCCTTCGTCTGGCAAATTTAGCCTTCCCCCCACTTCCCATATGTTTG